ATGTCTCACAAATGCTCCATATTTGTGAGAAACGTTCTATTCGTAATTACGTTTTATTGTTTTTATTATTATCCGTAACGTTATCTACGCAATTTATTTCCTTAACTTGCTAGGCAGTACAGTACGTCCCATATCCGCCCTAACCAATTAACCGCCGACACCCAGTGCAGTATTTGTGTACAGTACAACTATAATTTTATATAAATGTTCACAAATCCCATCTTGTCACACAGTAATGTGTGTTAAACTATTTTTATTTTACCAGGTAAGGTCCACTGAGCTATACAGCTATTTCGATTTAAAGCTTTCGTGACTGCAGGGATTCATCTTCTTAGTTCTTTCGGTAAAGTCACGTAGAAGGGAAATATTAAAATAAAACATAATAAATAATTCTCACGACGTTTCGTCCACAGCGCAAGCAGCCGTCCTCAGGTGAAGACCAGGTCTGTCGGGGAGACAGCGTCAGACTACGTGACTTTACCGAAAGAACCAAGAAGATATACAGCTATTTTTTAAGAAGCGACCTGGCTATCACAAATGATAGCTCAACGAAGTGGCTTGTCACGTGGAGATGTATAGCAGCCAAATACGCTAAACGTTCCTGCCGTGTCAACGTGGAACTTTCCTCGCGAGCTCAGGATCTCCGGCGGAGATTCAAGCCGCCCCGCACTCACTCGAGCGGGGAGACGCTTTGATGGAAATTTGATCAATCCCAATCATAAACGTTTCATGTATTAAATAGCCAAGATTGAAGCTAGCCACACGCCACAAATAACCGGCGCCGCGGTGATGTGGGAGGAAAAATTGCCACATCTAGAGCTGCTGGTATCTAACCTTTAATGTGATCACCCCGGCATAATCTCAACATGCGGGTTTTTTGTTCAATAGTCCATCACAGAGAAAAATTAATTTTTCATGGCGAGAAAGGCCTTTGCACGCGCTATTGATCGACGGCACAATTTTATTTGCGCTGGCTGCCCCTATCCTGCTGCCTCCCCTGTTTCCACAAAGAGGAGACACAAATTTGCCGATTCCCTTCTGTGGCCGTGGCAACTGTGGTGAGAAAAAAAAGTCGCGTCTCCAGCAGCGATGCAGGTGTGGAACAGGTGATTAATTGGGATGCTCGCTTGGCTCTGCTCAATAACCGGGAAATTCCCCTCTGGAAAACAAATCACACAAAGCCCCCGGACATTAATGGCATCGTGGATGTATCTCACTTCCTGTTTTATCTTGTCGCATATTTGTACCGCGTTTCATAAGCACCAAAATAAAGCCCGATCTGCAGATGCACAAGGTCGCGTTGGCGTTACTCAACGTAATGGGTGTGAACTTCAACAAACCGCAGGTGACCAGTGCCTGAGTATTGGATGAGGCTGATTAACTGGTTGCTATATACAGTAGTCAAATATATTAAAAGAATTGTGACATTTACCGCATTTCTTCTGTGATCCCTCTGCTGGAATCGTTAGCTTTATCGAGATGGTCCAGTTATTCGGCATGTAACAATGGATATATTTTACCAATTAAAGTCAATTATATCCCACGTGTTACATGCATTGAAATGTGTGCGTGACAATGTATTATGTAACCCGAAAACCTTGATTATGAATAATATTGGTCGCGAAAGCATACGTGTCAAACGAGCATACCAATTCCGTAATGAAGTAACATACATGCTAATAGTGTCAATAAAACTGCATTAAACAAGAATTCTATTTAGAAACAATGCAAATTAGGTGATGAAAACGAGACCATAAATAAGTAATCTACCCCCTGAATGTAACTGTCACTCTGTATTGTGGCAATTCATCGACGAGGTGGGGCATAAATCTCTAAATGCCTGCCAGTTTTGGTAACACTTCTAAAAAAAATCTTATTTTGCTCTTGGCATCATTTCATGAGATGTATGTCCATTTTGGACGGCTTGAAAATTTCGCGATGAGAACAGCCTCAGTTGCGGAGACATAACTACTTTTGAAGGCCCTAAATAAGCACCTTATCGGCACACGCTGTCACACATTTTGAAACGGCTTTCATATAATGTTCTTTACTTGGTAAACATACTAAAATCTGGAAACTTCGAAGTTGCAATACCACAAATTGAGTTCTTTATTTTTGTATTTTATCAGGTAAGGCCCACCAAGCTATCTAGCTCCTGTTTCAGAAGCGACCTGGCCACAAATTAGAGCTCAACAAAGCTGCTTATCACGTGGAAATTTAGAGCGGCCAAATACTCTAAATGCACGTTTCTAAATTTTGAAGGAAAAATCCAAGCAACCACGGGGAGAACACACAAACTCCATAGAACCCATTACCTCCTGTATACCAGGCGAGGTAGTTACCATCTCGCTACCGTGGTGCCCCATTCAAGTTATTTAGTGTCACACATCTCTAACCCAGTGCTTTGGAGCCAATGGTTGGTGGTTCACAAAGATCTGTAATGCTACCAGCCCGTTGGGCTGCAAGGTGGCCAAGAAATGGCATCACAGAATACAGATTTTTGATTCTGCGTGGCTCTTTCGGTCGTATTATCTCTTGGATTTATTTGTAGGCATGGATTTTTATGGGTCCTACAGTTACCTCACACATGTATAACACTCTTTAGAATAAAATTGGCCAAACAGCCTTTGCACAAAATTCTACTGCAGAAATGGGTCCCGTTGCTCAGCAAGGCTTTACTGGATACATGTGACATGATTATTATTGATTTGTTGTTTTTGTGTGTGTGTAGTCATTGGTGACCAGTTCGAGACCACCAATTCCCTGCATTTGAAGAGCCTTGTTTAATCATGGATAGTTGCCTGGTTTGAACCCAGCATCTCGGTAAAGATCCCCTTGGCTAACACCTCCCTGCTGAAGCGTTTTCATCCCGTGCTTCCACACCACTCCATCAGTGTGGTGCCTGCAATTCATCTGTTCAAAAACCCAGCGCACTAATCCCAGTCGCAGGTCAACAAAGCCCAACGTTCCCCGTGGGGATGATGAGCTCTACGGATTCACATCATGCGAATGTAAACAGCAGCCGCCCCAACGGATAAACTGTCCCTGCCACAGCAGTGTGGAATCTCCAACTCTGGAGCAGAGCTTGAACATCGCTTGTTTAAGCACGGCATTGCTGATTTTAAAACGATAGCAATGCAGTGAGAATTATAACGCACTGCAAAATCACAAACATCAAAAGCAACATATTTTCACTGTGTTCAATGATTCATGAGAGCAAAGGGATTGAGGAGAGAATGTAAAGGAGGCCGCTTGGGTCAAGCGATCACTTACATCCGTTTATTTTAAAGCTATTTATGGAGAAGACTATCTTTAACCTTAAAAAGTCCAGCAGGTGTTATCTTAAGTCTTGCATTCACCTATTGACCTTACATAGCATTTGAAATATGTGGATTTGGAGGATTTAAATAGAATCGACAGAGACAGTTCAATTTAGATTGTCACGACGATATATTCACGAATGTTTGCTGGGATTCCAACTCATAACCTCCTGCATAAGGAGCCAGTGCTCAGTCATTGAACCATCCCTCCCACACAATCTCTGCACCCGTTCAAGCGCCGCTGAGTGTATACAATGTGCGGTCAATACGCAAGGCTCGCGGGGTATGCGTTCGCACGTATTAAGCGGCCGCATTGGCATGCTGCCAGCGTGCCTGGATGGAAGAAGTCTCCAACCAATGCATACTGATGGGTGCGATATATATGGATTGGGGAAACAGGGTCACTGACTGAGAACCATGGCAAGATGCACGCGACGCATCTCTGTGATGAGACGCAACGATCAGAAGCGAACGCTAATGAAGGACCGCGTTCCGTTTGGCGAAGAGCAACAACGACAACCGCCAAAGTAAATCGCATTGTGTAGAATTAAGCACGAGAAGAAATCGCAGACGATGAACAAAATGAATGAGAAACACCGAGTTGAGAGCACGGCTGAGGGGCAGGAGGGTCAGGGAAACGTGTAGAAGAGATGACGCATCTCTACAAGTCGTGTCCAGATTATGAAGTAAAAGTACACAAGCACTTATCACAAGTCTGCAAGGTGTCCAGTATGTACGCATTTATGTTGAACTTCTTTTGCACCGCACTTGGCCAACCGTGCTAATCGGAGTACAAAACGCATGCAGGGTATTGTAATATCGGCACCAGCCTTTTGTTTAGCATTTAATGAGTCTGTCAAAAGTATTGATTGTATGGATTGTACGAGCAGCATGCTCATCTGCACAGTGACTCACTCGGTTAATTAAAATTGGGAACCATCAGGCAGATCAACACGTGGTAATGGCCAGCTTGTGCAATAGTTAGAGCAATTTACTGAAATTAAAATACATATCCCTGCCCCGGTAAACACCCAACCGAACATCGCTCTATGATAGTAGGTTTTTCCCCTTTTTTCTGGCAACAAAACAGGTGTAAAATGTTAAAACACCGAACTGAAACCTTTTACAAGGAATCATGTCTGCATTATCCACAATGCTTGTGGTCAGAATGCAAACAAAAAACATACTCTGATAACATATATATATAAAAAAGGGGAAAAACCTATATCATATTTTGGTACTGGCCAAGGAGGTCCCATAATGTAGATGCTCACCCCGAGCTCTCATTAATCTGATAGTGCGTTGTCTTTGGCGTCCTCTGGTCTAACACCGTTTGAGACGAGGCTCAAAAGAAAGCTGTCTCTGGTGTGGACCAATCAGTTTCAAGGATAATGCATATCACCACAAGCATTGTGGTTAATGCAGACATGATTCCTTGTAAAAGGTTTCAGTTTGGTGTTTTAACATCTTAACACCTGTTTTGTTGCCAGAAAAAAGGGAAAAAACCTATCATCATATTTTTCTACTGGCAAAGGAGATCCCATGATGTGCATCCCACCATGGTTAATAAAATCTGTACGACTTGGAGGAAAAATCAACAGTGGCTCTCTGACGGAGAAACTGGCCCTATCATGGGAGCAATATAAATAATGGTGTTAACATTTGAATGTTGTTACTCACCAAACAGTATTCTCTAACTCTCACACGGAGACAATGACCGAGATGAGCGAGGAACTGTCGACAAGCGGGAAGGGAGTCACACGGCGAGTCAGCTACAACAATTGCCCGAGCTCTGGTGGAGTCCACATTTTTTGCTGTACTGCCTTCTCTGGGCGAGCCAGGGTATAGCTCCTCCTCGGACGCCCCATGGGAAGGAAGTTTCGCAACACGTGTGTGCGATCCACCAACCATCACTACCTCCACAGTGCTGGATTACGGGTTGCTTGCGTAGCCACCGTTGCCTAAAATGTGGAAATTCTACCACAGTCTCAGGGTTGCCAACAGAGATGAGCACCATCTCGGTTTGGTGATAAAAATGTCCACTCATTTTTGCCAATACAACCTTTTTTTTGATGCCACAATTTATGAGAATAGTGGATTCTCTGGATGCTTGCTTAAGACCTGGAGATTTTGGGTTCAGGTAGTTTGCCCTGTTTATTTTTGTAAAATAATATTTCGGAGATGAAGATTTCACCGAATGTCAAATTTCAACGTTGGAAAGTTTTATACAATCATAATACACTAATTGGAATTTGAAAAATGTCTTCCGACTGAGCCCCGACTCAGGGACCATGAGCATTGCCCTTCAATTCGTGAACATATTTCATAGACACTCCACCGTATGCGGTGGTGATACACAGACACACTTAATAGAATGCAATCTCCGTTCCAAGAAAATACATTAGAAACACACACACACACACGTATGTATTAATATTTATGAAAATACGCCTGAAGTTACTAATGTGAGAGACACAGAGAATAACGGTAACGTACATACGAAATTAAACATGATGAACCATTATGGAATTAAATGTGATGAACCATTATGAATATGTGAAAATCTTTATCACCAATGTCTCACCCTGTACACGCTCTGCTGATACTTTACACACAAACCACTGGAATCCACAACAATTTATGAGCATGGCTGGATTTACGTGGTAGGGGGGGAGCTTTTGGGACCACAGCCGGGGGGCTCGAATATTGAGGGCCCCCCAGAAATATATCTCCCGCTTCGTAATGGTTGAAACGCAATACTGTGGCACTATGATACATCCTACAGTTGAATTTGGTAATTAGGGCCATGGCATCACTCTTTGTGTTATATCCACGACTACCGGTTATGGGCCACAATTAAAGTCGTTTGTTAATTTTAATGGAGATGTAGCTCTGCAATTTGTACATCACGTTTAAAACTTTAGAGCTGAATAAAGCCAAAAGCCAACAGCAGAGGAGTGTTCGGCATAAACAAAACTCGAATGGCCCGAGGCCTTTAGCAGGCATCACCCAGCCCTGGCTAATACGTGTAATTGCTCGATGCGAATGGATAATATATGGTTTAACGTTTATTGATTACGGCTTAAATGAGCAATGTTGTCCGGTGGCAAACACCAATGTACAAAAATATGAACGTATCACATTTAAAGTGGCAAAACTTATCACACGTCCAGATTATTACATTGGGTACCTATCAAACATAGGCATGTTTACAAACTATGCCTACTTGTCTCCGAGAGTCTGCACCAATCCACTCCATCGTCTCTTGCCGAGCAGTGCACAGTTTTGAGCCTCAACGGACCCCAATCGATGCTGTCTACAATCCACATGCCACGCAGATCCTGCTGCTGCTGCTGCCCGCACAGAGCAAACCTTGTGCGGTCATACGGCCAACGTGGTTTCACCGGGGTCTCTGACCCGGACACCTGGAACCAGCTACCGTCGGCAGTTCTTTGGGATCCCATGCTCGAGTGTGAGCTCGTTTTGTGACAGACTTAAAATGGCGTTGTTTCAAAGAGCCTACTCTGTGTGATCAACGCGTGGCATTCGTGATGGACTGGACGAACACGTGTGCGCGATAACAAGCGTTCAGAATTATTCGAAATGTAAACTTAATTAACGTGAATGTCGGTTGTAAAATCCTCCATTACCTCACGGGGAGACCTTGTTCCAATCATTGGCTGTTTGATATGCAACCACAAAGACAAAGATCCCCCTATAGCATTAACAGACTTTTGGGGCAAGTGCTGTTAGCGAGCACCTATGAAGATCGTCACGGAAGCCAAGTGGGTGGGTGACCAGCACCACGTCCGGGTGCCTTTTTCTCCCTAGTGGCGATGTTTACACATCGTAGCAGGTACTAATTTGAGGCTGAGTCGACCTTGCAGAGGACCAGGACCGGTTCAGATAATCGCCACTAGTGTCGGTCATTCGCAGCGGAGCGCGCTAACCGCTACCCCACCGCTCCCCAGCACCACACACACACAGACACACGTGTACGCACCCGTGCGCGCGTACCTTGAGATGCTGCAGCTCGCCCGTGTGCAGGCTGTCCACGTACTCCTGCAGCTGCACCAGGCCGTAGGTGCTCTCCGCCAGGCCCGTGGCGCGCTCCACCACCGCCTCGTACCGCGCGCACACCTCGCGGTTGAACCTCTCCGAGGCGGAGGCCGCGTGGCCGCCGATGACCGCCGCCAGCTTCCGCGCACGCTCCGTCAGCCACTGCGGAGGACACCAAGGGGCAGCGCCGGGCGGAAGCTAAGCACGATTGCTCTCCCCCGTGCCTTCACCTGACAAAACTAAATTTACAGTGATTTCCTACTCGATTGAGCATACAGCCCTGAGCCAGCGGTGACAATTCTACATTGCTATGACTTCAGTAGGGCTGCAGTGATTCGCACACTGCACTCTCAGCCATTCCTAGTCCCAGCAAACATCAGAGGCGAATCAACATCTTTACTGATCCTGGGCACTCGCCTCCACCAACTCACACTGATCAGCATGGTGAAATATGGTCAAACGACCTTCACAAGTGATGCACCTTGTGAGGATCTTCGTCCAGAAGTGAAATGAAAAAAGGGCAGCATATTATTTATATACTTATTGTGTGTAACAGATGAAAATATTTTACCGTGATTGCCACTTTAATGTTGCTGTTTGGGGTGACTGGGTGGCTCGGGGAGTTAATGTCCGTGTCAGATCACTGAATCCACGGTGATGAGATCTTGCGCTCAAAATTCAGGCAGGTGCCTGTGATTAAACCACGTTCTCAAGTGTGGTGAGCTCGCCGTCACAGTCTGTTTACCAATGAATCGACAAAACCCCATCAAATACATTTTTTATTTTTCACTTAAATGGGACTTGCGCATGGCAAATATGTTCAAGAGCTAAATGCTAATGTCGAGGTCTGCTAGCCGAGAGAGGGCTTCAGACGAAAAGTTTGTGTAGTTTGTCTGTTCCTCCTCCGTCGAAGGAATGCAGATTACAGTGATTTAGTATGTGGCCCATTGTTTAGTATGTGGCCCATTGTTTAGGTTACATGACCACAGTTGCACTGCTATGGCTTGTCATTAATTTTCCGTTCATAAAGGAGATGTGCGCATCGGCCTACTGATGTTCTGATGTGATTGACGGTTACACTGGTGTCTGTTTAGACAAAACAGTGAATAAAGAGACCGATAACATTGTGTAACAATTTGTTTTTGTTGCTGGGTAGTAAGTGTTATTTCCTAATTGCTTATGCCTCAAAAGTATAGAAAATGGCTATTATTTCCCACAAACTTTGCTTGTGTGACCAGGAGAGTGATATTTTTCAATTGACCTATTTTCCAGAACATTCCAGATAGATTCAGTGCTGAGTAAAGAACATTCTAGAACTATCCAGTAATATAAATAGTATAAATACAGGGGCATTAAGCCCACGAGTACAGTTTAGTTCCAGCTGCCGAAGTGGATACATATCTGCATTTTTCTGAGATGGCATCAAGAGGCTGCAAGCATCCGGCAGACGCATTTTGCTATGTCTGTGGCCAATTTATCAAGACAAGAGCGAAAAAGTACTCTGTGGAAGCATCTGCTAAGATGTGTGAGGCCTACAAGGCATATTTCGGCATGCCTGTCGGGGATAAAAACAAACCCTGGGCATCTCATTTCACCTGCGAGCAATACAAACAAACTCTGGAAGGTAAGATGGACAATTGTTGCTTAAAATTTTATGTTATAAAATTTGTAAAAAATTGTCAAAGTTTATTTTTTTTAATGTTTTACAATTTTCAATGTTATTAAAAAATATATATATCAAATATGAAAAATGTTGCGAGAATCTCTTACACATTAGTCATGGGTGAAATAAATGAATTTTTGTAGGATGGTACAGAGGGGAAAATAGAGCCATCAGAATCGCCTGCAATCAGAATGAGTGGCGCCTCTTCATTGACAGCTCATCCAGGGGCCTCAAAGCCGTGCTGCTCCATAATGGTAACAAGTACCCGTCTCTTCTCCTGGCTCACTCGATGCACCTCAAAGATTATTACAACAGCATCAAGACCTTGCTGGATGCCTTGAAGTATGATGAATACGGCTGGGAGGTCATCGGAGACTTCAAAATGGTGGCATTCCTGATGGGTCTCCAAGGCGGTTTTAGCAAGTTTCCCTGCTATCTTTGCCTTTGGGACAGCAGGGACACCAAGGCGCACTACCACAGGCGGGACTGGCCACAGCAGACCGAGTTCTCTGTGGGGAGGAACAACGTCAAGTGGGAGCCACTGGTGGACCCCCGGAAGGTGCTGATGCCACCACTACACATCAAATTGGGCCTTATGAAACAATTTGTCAGAGCTGTAGATAAGGAGTCGGCCGCCTTCAAGTACCTTCAAGACTTCTTCCCTAAGCTGTCTGAGGCAAAGGTCAAAGCCGGTGTCTTCGTCGGACCACAGATAAAGAAGATCCTGGAGTTGAATGAATTCCCCAAGAAGCTCACTAGTAAGGAGAAAGCAGCTTGAACAGCTTTGTCGCAGTGGTTCATGGCTTCCTGGGCAATCACAAGGTCTAAAACTATGTGGAGCTGGTTGAGACTGGTGAAGAACTACGGCACAATGAGCTGTAGGATGTCCCTCAAAGTCTATATCCATGATGCTCATCTTGATAAATTCAAGAAGAACATGGGAGCAAAGTCAAAGGAGCAAGGCGAGTGCTTCCACCAGGATATACAGGACTTTGAACGCCACTACCAAGGACAGTATAACGAGAACATGGGAGAATACATTTGGGGGCTGATTAACAGTATAATAGTAAATCTCGAAAAACTACTCACTTCGAAATCTTTTGTAGTAATTTTTGTATTACTTTAGTATAAATACATGTGAATTTTGATTCATATGTTTTTTTTCTGACTTGATGTGAACGAAAAGACACAAATTCGGCTGTTTTCTCATCAAAATATCACTGTCCTGGTCACAAAAGCAAAGTTTGTGGGGAATAATAGCCATTTTATATACTTTTTAGGCATAAGCAATTACGAAATAACACGTACGACCCAGGAACAAAAATTGTGTTACGTAGTGTAATGAAATGCAAAAATGTACCAAGCTGGAATATTCAGTGAGGTGTTAATCACACATTGCAAGCATAAGCAACCTTCATAATGAGTCTCAAAACTCGGTGATGCTTATTATTTAAAATATTGCATAATGCGAGAGTTAGTTTTTTTCATTGAAGAGTCACCTTTCGGCATTAGCCATCGATCAAAAGTAGCATCCTGGGAATTAGTAAACACCAAATCTCTAGAGCGCTTAATAAACCATCTTACATATGAGTTTTATTCCCCTCAGGTGCATGTGTGGCGATGATTATCTGCTGATCGAGACATAAAGGCAAGGTTCTTACCAAAAACAATCTCGATGATAAGGAACATTTGACAAAAATGAAGCACCGGGCTATTTAACTCCTAAGATTCACATTAAGAGCTCGGATACTGATACAGGCAATTAACTTATAATTGATTTTATCATTTAAATTATTCATGTCAAGTAATAAATATCACAGTTCAGCCACTTAGTTATTTATAAAATAAATCAAAGCTTGATTTCATAGGCTTAATTATTTATGCCTGACTGCAAAGGCAAGAGTGTTGATATGATCGTACTTTCAATGCATTTATGTTTTTTTGTGTGGATGAGGCTTTCTTGCAATATCTGTAAATGTCAAAGTGTGCTCAGCTGCTTTGGTTGCCCCGTCCATTATTTTCAAATTTCACAGTTCTATGACGGGAGCCAGCCTCCTCACTGGACAACTGCCGACTGCCCAAAAAGGTGCCATTCACTTTATTGCCTCTGTAGAGATGATGGACAGAATTGCAACAAGTGTGAGTAGAGCTTTCCAACTGCAGTGCCACGCCCAGTCTCATGGAAACAGATCATTTGGCGATGCTGCGTTGGCACCACAATTCACAACGTGCCATAAAGACGGGCCATTGGCCAAAACGTCGCCGGCTATATAGCGTTATTGACGAATGTATTGAGTTTCTTTTTTCTTTTATTAATCAGTGTTATAGACGTAATCATAAAAACATCAGGAAGGTTACACAAACGAGATGTACGGGGGCATTTCGTCCATCTGGCTCGTTCGGTTGTGAGTAGTTGCTCGAAGATTCTAGGATCTCATCGAGGAGTCTCTTGAAGAGTCCCAGCAGTGAGAAGCTGCCACCGCCACCACCACCGAGTTGCGTGGGCAGCTGGTTTGAGGCTCCGCCACCCTGCGCATGAAACACAACTGCCTCCCTCCTGGCCTCGCTCCACCGTGACCTCTACTGCTCTTCTTGTCCGTGTTGAGCTGGTTAGCAATCGTCATCCGGATCGACTTGGTTACTATTATTTATGATTTCACGGAACTGGATTAAGTCCCCACAGATTTTTCTCTCTCGACTAATATATCAGTATTTTGAGCAAATGGGTCATTGCAATCGATTGTTTCTCAGTGACTGGACATTTGCAACTCATGGTGCATAACTGACATGCATTTGTTACTCGATAAGGCTACATATCAATTGGAACCCAGCACTTGTGGGATATTTTGTCTACTTTTTATGAAATTCAATGTAAAGCAGTCAGATTGATTGATGATGCAGAACTCAGTGAATCACTCCAGCCACCCACTCAGCAGTGACCAGTCGCTTGCTGATCACTATTCTATTGTTACAACAACCGTTACTTAGAGCTTGCATGTTCTCCCCGTGGTCCCGTGGATATTTTTCTCCGGGTCCTCCGGTTTTTCCCTCCACATTTAGACACATGCTTTGAGATTATTTAGAACACATTCCTGCGGAGGGAGCTGGTAGGAACGTTGGGTTGCTCGGTCAATGGCCAGGGTCAACGGCAGCGTGGTGTATTCCGCAAATATGGGCGACTGTGAGGGCGGGCACAAGCCGTAGGTTAAACGTTGAGTTTTATAAGGGCACCACGGGGTGACCAGCCCCTCCCCACCCAGCCCCACCCCTCCCACCCCCCACCCAGCCCCACCCTCCCCACCCAGCCCCTCCCCACCCTCCCCACCCAGCCCCTCCCCACCTTCCCCTCCCCACCCAGCCCCTCCCTCCCCACCCAACCCCTCCCCGCGTCTATACCGTACTATATACTGCAGTATATAGTATAGACGCGTGTGATGTAAGAGAATAAAGTTTAGATGGAAGCATATTATATAATGTTTTACAACGTAGAAATGTTTATGTATTACTTACTGTTAGTAACTCAGCTTATTGTAGAGTATAGTAAGTATACTGATGATGCTATGTAGTTTATACTTTAGTTTGTTATGCAGTTTATACTTTAGTTTTTTACGTGGTTGTTTAGTAACTGCAGCTACATACTATTAACATTCCTTTCCTTTGTTAATGCTACCCGTGCATAATGCACGGGCATAGTATTGATTTGGAACCCCCCCCCCCCGCCCACCTCCTACGCATTTTCCATATGCTGAATTCCTCTTGATATGCAAATTATTTTGTTTAGGCGCTCTTCTTCCCACCTCCCCCCCTCTAACCCAGCTTAAATATACGCTCCAAGCTTGGTGGTGTTTCATTCTTCGCCTGAGGACGGCTGCTTGCGTTGTGGCCGAAACGTCGTGAGAATTGTTTTATTATGTTTTATTTTTATTATTTTATTACTTCCCTTCTACGTGACTTTACCGAAAGAACCAAGAAGATATAGAGGCATCGTCAGGGTCGGGATCGAACCTACGATCCCCTGTACACCGGGCGAGGTAGTTAACATCTCGCCACCGTGCCACCAAAGCTGCAGGTCACAACTCTTATCTTTCTGCTTCTTCCCTCGCACTGCTCCACTTTGGAATTCCCTCCCTATCCTTGATTAATGCGATAAAGCCATTACATTTGAGCTATTACACCTGCAATAGTGCAGTTTGTTGCTGGCTGATTAGCATTTTGGGCATTTTAGCCTGTGCTCAGCAACCGTGATTTGAACATAATACTTGGTAAGAAATGAAAGTGGTTACCGCATGAGGTGGAATCCCTGTTCCCCTCAAATGCTTCTGCATCCCTCCCCTTATCGCTACTCAACCAGGCCACTTGCATTGTGGCCCAATCGCACGGCTCACAAGCTGAAGGTAGCGAATTCAAATCCAGATCAGGAGTCGACTCAGCCCAGCATACCTCCACGGTCAATAAATTGTGAATCACTCTGATGAAACAACAATAGCTGTCTTAAGTTATGGTAAAATATTTTCAGCCAAAAAGTTGATTAACTCGGCTATGGCTGCGACCACATTGCTTCTGTACTGATCTCGAAATGCACACAAAAGTAAGAACTCCACTGTTTAATATTCAGGTCTGTGTAAGTTATAACCTAAAGTATACCTATTTTACATGAACAAAGTAATGTATTCCACCAAAATCAATTACTTACTTGAATAAATCAATTTCAATTATCAAACATTCATATATTAATATCAAACAATGAATGTCCTCGATTATCCTTTCAAATATTTATACCAAGTTGCCCTTATCGAAAATTTAATTAGTTGCATCAAGAAATGAACAACTAATATTACTTACTCTATTATTTTTACAGTAATCCATCCACATGGCATGCTATTTGTAGTATTCAACTCCCAATCAGCAGGTTGTAAGTTCATACGCAAAGTGTGGGTTGATTCATCCCGTGATACCAGCATTATTAATTGAAACACATGCCCCTTTGCAGGAATCCAAGCTATCATTCTGCTAAAGAAACCGGCCAATCCCATGCGAATGCGGAATATTTGCGACCGAGACTGTGCCACCATCAGTGGAGATGAGTGCCACTTGACGCTTGTTTGATCATGGAGACCCTTTGCTTTTATTGCCGGGCATTGGTGGCTATGCACGTGGACTGTCGTGCAGCGCCGTGGCTCGGCTGCGCCTGGCCTGTCGTGCAGCGCCGTGGCTAGGCTGCGCCTGGCCTGTCGTGCAGCACTGTGGCTAGGCTGCGCCTGGCCTGTCGTGTAGCGCCGTGGCTAGGCTGCGCCTGGCCTGTCGTGTAGCGCCGTGGCTAGGCTGTGCCTGGCCTGTCGTGTAGCGCCGTGGCTAGGCTGCGCCTGGCCTGTCGTGCAGCACTGTGGCTAGGCTGCGCCTGGCCTGTCGTGCAGCACTGTGGCTAGGCTGCGCCTGGCCTGTCGTGCAGCGCCGTGGCTAGGCTGCGCCTGGCCTGTCGTGCAGCGCCGTGGCTAGGCTGAGCCTGGCCTGTCGTGCAGCGCCGTGGCTAGGCTGCGCCTGGCCTGTCGTGCAGCGCCGTGGCTAGGCTGCGCCTGGCCTGTCGTGCAGCGCCGTGGCTAGGCTGCGCCTGGCCTGTCGTGCAGCACCGTGGCTAGGCTGCGCCTGGCCTGTCGTGCAGCACTGCCGAGGAAGCAAGAGTTGGTGGATCTCACACACTGGTGTTGTGAAACTCCCTTCCCATTGGGCGCTGCGGTGCCATATACCGGCTCGCCAGGAGAAGGCAGTACAGCAGGTGGACTAATCACCCACATGTGTAGTGACATCGCGGGATGCCACTGTGTAATGCCGGCCCTAGAGAGGCACGGCACGCGGTGTATTGACATCGCGGACACCACTAGGATGTGGGTGCAGTACCGGCCCTAGAGGGGCTCGGTGAGCGCTGATCGATAGCGCTGGATGGCACCACGCTTGGCGTGCAGTGCCGGCCCCTACAGGATAGGGTGTGGGAGTGCCGGCCATGGAAATGGGGTTACTAAGGGCCGTGGCACTCTAATTGACCCCAAAGGACACGTGACCGGTTAAGTCTACACAGGGGCCCCAAGTGGGGGCTAGGGGTGGTCACATGTCAGAGTCGAGATCCTGCTCGAGGATTCTGGAATGTGGTCGTGGCCAAGGGTGGAGCCGGCCACGCCACAGAGGATATAAGCCGGGTCGCCCAGAGGGACCGGCGCTGTTGTTCATCCTGAAGAAACCTTCGTCAACGTTCTACGTCCTACCGAGTCTCCAACACGTGGACCTGGACCCGAGATGTTGGTCCTGGTCCGTTGTAGCTAGTCACGTTGTGATTAGTGCAGCTAGCCTGGTGGTCACTACCATAAGTTGTCATTCTGTGAAGGGGCAGTTACCTAGTGTGTTGGTGTTAAATAAATGTGTTGCCTCCAAGAGTATGTCTGGGACTCATTTGAACTCACTACACATTTATAAACACTCAGAAAATGGCTGACATCTTAAAATAAAAATACAACGGCAGACCCTCCTGAAAAGATTCCTTGGGACTCAGTGTGACTTTCTTGAATAAAAAATTCATGAAAATGATGTTGCGATAATGATGCTGCCGTGATTGAATCGTTAGTACAATGGACTTGGTGTGCAGTGGTCGCTAGTTCAATTGTCTGGCGTGGCAATTTAAGCAATGGGAACGTTTTGTAACTCCCCCACCCCTCTGCACCCTGCAGTATATATGGATACACCACGGGTTACTCGATCAGTAAGGCTGTGTGTGGTGGGGTAAAGTGCGGGTTGTTCCCACATTGTCCAAGACATCTAGCCACTGTGGAAGAGTAGGCCAAAACGCCATCGAGAAGGGCTCTCTAGCCTTTCTGGCAACAGTTGGACTTTTATTTCGACATGATTTATAGACTGGGTCTTAACACAATAAATCCAATTACCTGCAGTTTTGACACCAAATTAATCAGCAATTCGACTGATTTGAATATTGAAATTATTTAGGTCAAGAAAATATTATTTCAGGTTTGACATGGGAATTGGATGCTAGACTGAGGTCTTGTCTTTATAACTCACGTTTAAAATCTTGTGACAGCCTTCAATTACATTATTGGCTCTAACCTCGGAGTGTGGTAAACCATTTCATCACAAGTCAATACACAATCTGTGGCCTGGATGAATTTCCTCCATCCCTCAAATGACTCTCACTTCAGAAAGCTGTCATCTTAACAAATGAGAGCCCTGGATCTCATTGAGTTTATGATACATTAATAAATACAAACAATATCTAAGCACCTCCCTGCTCATATGAGCACAGAGCGGTCCTCACCTCCATCATGTAGAATTTAGAAGTGAAAATCCCACATTCTTATGACAGAAGTCCAGTCTCACTGTATGACCTCATGTTGCTTTACAGCTGGTGGTACTCCTTTTCAAGGATCCATCGTTGAGTCTGAGCCAGTTTCGCCTACGTGTTAAACGGACTTAAAAGTATTGTTCCAAATAGCTTCCTCTGTGTGATCAGTTCGCATTTGTGATGGACCGGACTCATAAGAGTGTATAATAACAAATGTTCAGATTTATTGACTTACGATGTTGTGAACCCTGGGGTAAGTGATGAGTTGACCGCCATTCAGCACTTCAGCTCACCGCTTTAATATTTCAAATCGAGCACTACCCAGCCTCATTGTGCGTACCTTTAAATCAAAACAATAATATTGCCAATTGTCCGAGAAAGCTGAACGAAGTTTCAAGACTCGTTTTCAGGGAGGATTTTGCGTTGGGATCTTTTGCCAGTTCTTTAAGGAGTGTTTACGTCTTTTAAAGAAAACCGGAATACCCGGAGAGAAAACCAAGTACATGTAGGAACGCCATTCCAAAAAACCCATACTGATAGGTCAGCAACCTGCATTCACGACCACAGATAGCAAAATCATATTTTGTAAGTCATAGAATTAAATAAGTACTTATATCAATAACTCAATTACATTTTGATGTGAACGAGGGACAGTTTTCTGCTTCACCTAGAATTGCATAACCTTTCATTGACGATGTTTCCTTCAACACTCTAATTATGAAAACCACAAGGCAATAATTCATGTTACCAATTCATCAGTTGGTGAAATCAATAGAGGATTGCATCCTAAATAACATCTGCTGAAAGATCATCTTCAGCACAATCTACTTACAAACATATTAAGTCACATTTCACATATCAACATTTCTTCAGATACTATTCCTCACTAAAATAGCTATGAGTTGCTATTATCTATAAATGTATTTACTAAATAACAATATTCAGATCATCAATGGGTTAACTTTACAACCATTACTAAATGCACATGTCATTATTCGAACTTACGAAGAGTAGCAAGTTGGTGGTCTTAGCCATAGCTG